TTGAAGTCTTTGAGGGTGATGAGACCTCAGCTGACTGTTGGAATCTTTGAGTTGAGGGTGGTGAGACCTCAGTTGGCTGTTGGGTGCCAGAACCATCCGTTCCCAGTAAGTCCCACCAGGTCCCTGTGGTTCTGAACCCAACTGCTTGGAGATAGGACACCCATCAACAGCCACCAGACCTTTATCTCCCTTCTGGGGCTTGGCAGCAGTGTTGACCTTGTTGGTGGTGGCCAGGACAGAAGAGGACCCAGGTTCCTGTCCCCTAGCTGGGTTCTCAGGGCTGTGTGACCTGCTGTGTGGCTTGGAGAAGCCATGTCAGCTGTTACCTGCAGAAAGACAGTTGAGCCTGGAGCAAAGGAGGCTCAGGAGGGACCTTCTCACTCTCCATAACCCCATGAAAGGAGGTGGGAGCAGGTGGGGGTTGGTCTCTTCTTGCAAGGAACAAGCCATAGGACAAGAGGAGATGGCCTCAGGTTGCCCCAGGGGAGGTTTGGGTTGGCCCTGAGGGACAATTTCTTCCCCTTGAGGGTTGCCCAGGGCAGTGGTGGAGACCCCATTCCTGGAGGGATTTCAAAGCCGTGGAGATGTGGTGCTGAGGGACATGGGTCAGTGGAGACCTTGGCAGTGCTGGGGCAACGCTTGGACTCCATGACCTTCAAGGTCTCTTCCATCCAAGATGCTCCTAGGGTTCCAAGCTGAGAACATTGCTGTGCTTCCATCTAGAAACTGGCCACCAACCCCTTTTCCCAGGCCTGGCTCCGAGCTCAAGGTGCTGTTCCACCTTCAGGTGGAGCCCCAGAACCACTGAGCTAAGACCTTCAACACCACCGAGGTTCTGCTGGGGCCATTTTGGGGCTTGTTTTGACCTTTCTGTGTCCTCCCACCCAGGCATTGCCATCTTCTGCATGCTCCTGACCTACTACATGTGGATCAAAGCCGTCAAAACCGGTTCCATCTACTGGGCTGCCATGTGTGCCCTCGCCTACTTCTACATGGTGAGTCTTCCCCACCCCATGACCACCAGAGTTCTGGAGATGGCCACCAAGGATCCCTGCCTTGGACAGCCATGATCATTGGGGATGTCCTCTCAGGGAGCTGAGGGAAAACCCTGCCCAGGATCTCAAGAACATCCATCCCACGTGTGATCCAACCTCTTGCCTTTGACCTTGGCTCAGTCCTGGAGCTGATGGAGGGTTTGATTTCTTTCTTCAGGTCTCCTCGTGGGGTGGCTACGTCTTTCTGATCAACCTCATCCCCTTGCACGTCCTGGTCCTGATGCTCACGGGCCGCTTCTCCCACAGGATCTACGTGGCCTACTGCACAGTCTACTGCTTGGGAACCATCCTCTCCATGCAGATCTCCTTCGTTGGCTTCCAGGTGGGGACCAGAACCATTTCATGACTTTGGGGGATGGTCATTTCAAGGGTTGTAGCAGAACCTCAACGAGTTGGCCATGGTTTCTCTTCCTGCCTTGGCCGATGATGTTTTAGGTGGGCGCCAACTTCTGGGTCTAGCTCTTGATGCAGCCTTTGGCTTTTGGAGGTGCTGGATGACTTTCAAACCTCCTCGTGACCTTCAGGGGTTACTTTTCATGAGGAGATTCCTGGTTTGGGGCAGGAAATGCCAACGCCAGCACGTGTCTTGGCCTGGCAGGACAAACATCTCCAAAGGTCTCGAGATCTCCAGAGATGAAGTTGAATTGTCCTCTCTGGGAACGGAAGGGGATGTGAGACAGCACCTCACAGGGGGGTGGTCTGCAGGGAGGGGACACTGACTTGGAGAGGTGGGGTTTGATTCAGAAGCCACCATGAGGCACAGTGTGTCCCTTGTTGTCCTCCTCCTCCAGCCTGTCCTCTCCTCGGAGCACATGGCCGCGCTCGGGGTCTTCGGCCTGTGCCAGATCCACGCCTTCGTCGACTACCTGCGCAGCAAGCTCAACCCCCAGCAGTTTGAGGTCCTCTTCAGGAGTGTCATCTCCTTGGTCGGCTTCGTCCTCCTCACCATCGGGGCCTTGCTGATGCTCACAGGTAGCCCCGGGTGGTGGAGATGAGGAGCACCTTGCACCACCAGCTCCACCTCCCTCCGTCGCTCTGGAGAGCGTGGCCTTTGCCCGCCCCCGTTTCCGCCTCCTTCCCGTGCTCCACCTCGCACCACAGGAGGTTTGGGTTGGACCTGAGGAACGTTTTGTTCCTCAAAAGGGTTGTCCAGTTCTGGCTCAGGAGAGTGGTGGAGTCCCCACCCCTGGAGGGGTTCCCAAGCCGTGGAGATGTGGTGTGAGGGTCATGGGTCAGTGGTGGACTCAAATCTTCGAGGTCTTTCCAACCAAAATGGTTCTGTGGTTGTGGCACGTTGGGGAGCTGGGGCTCCAGAACCTCAGTGTCCACCCGTGGGAGCAGAAAGATGCTAAGGAACAGGTCAGGGTGGTGGAGAAGTCATTTTAGGCTTAAATTTTTCTCCATCTCCTTTCCAAAAGACCAACTTGGAGTAACGGAGATGGGAGGTGAGATCCAGGATGGTCCATTTGGCCGAGAACCTGCTGGCACCACCGGTTCTGCTCTTCTGGAACCAAAGGTGGTGGCTTTTCTCTTCCCTAGGGAAGATCTCCCCGTGGACGGGACGTTTCTACTCCCTGCTGGATCCCTCCTATGCGAAGAACAACATCCCCATCATCGCCTCCGTCTCCGAGCACCAGCCCACCACCTGGTCCTCCTACTACTTTGACCTCCAGCTTCTCGTTTTCATGTTCCCAGGTGAGCTCAGCACTGGTGGCACCAGGCCCCAATTTATTAAACCACCATGGAGGGTTTGTTGGACCTCTTCTCTCCTCTTCTGGTGGCTTTTTTACCCTTGGGAGAAGGTTGCTGAGGTGACCCTGACCCGTTCCTCTGTCCTCTCCACAGTTGGTCTCTACTACTGCTTCAGCAACCTCTCAGACGCCCGAATTTTCATCATCATGTATGGTGTGACCAGCATGTACTTCTCAGCTGTCATGGTGAGGACCACTGCTTGCTGAGAAGATGGTTTCTCTTCTTTCCATGGACTTGATGGTGGTTCTTCCACCCTGAGCTGAAACAGCCACCAGGCTCTTCACCCGCCCTCAAAATTTGGTTCCTCGGCCCCGCTGGGAACGTGACGTTGCAAATCTGGCTGGTTTTGGTGTCACCTTCTGGCCACCACCTTCCTGGTCTCCAAAAGCTCCTCAGCAAACCCAAGCAGGATCCAAAAGCCCATTTCCACTCTTGCTCCACCACCCCGAGCCCAAACCACGGGTTGATTTCTGGTGTGGAGGCATCTACAAACCCTTGGCTTTGCCCACAGGCGTTCCATGGAGGTCACCTCCATGCCCTGGCCCAACTCTGAGATCTTCAGAGAACTTCCCTCAGAGGATGGTGGGAATTTCTTCTCTGCCAGGTCCTGATGGTTCTCCTCTCCTGCCCATAGGTGCGTCTGATGCTGGTGCTGGCCCCGGTGATGTGCATCCTGTCTGGCATTGGGGTCTCTCAGGTCTTGTCCACCTACATGAAGAACCTGGACATCAGCCGGCCGGACAAGAAGAGCAAAAAGCAGCAAGACTCCACCTACCCCATCAAAAATGAAGTGAGTGGTGGGCCGGCTTGGGAAGCTGGAGAAGACACCTCATCTTGGTGGACCTCTTCCCTCCAGCGTTGACCCCGATTCTGTTCCCTCAGGTGGCCAGTGGCATGATCTTGGTCATGGCTTTCTTCTTGATCACCTACACCTTCCACTCCACCTGGGTGACCAGCGAGGCCTACTCCTCCCCCTCCATCGTCCTGTCCGCCCGCGGTGGCGACGGCAGCAGGATCATCTTTGATGACTTCAGAGAAGCTTACTACTGGCTGCGTCACAACACCCCGGAGGTGAAGGAGGGGGTGGGATGAACCACGTGGTGGAGACCCCCCAACGTCGCGTCCTCCGGGGTGCTGATGTTCTCCTCTGTGCCTGCAGGACGCCAAGGTGATGTCCTGGTGGGACTACGGCTACCAGATCACCGCCATGGCCAACAGGACCATCCTGGTGGACAACAACACCTGGAACAACACCCACATCTCCCGCGTGGGGCAGGTGGGTCCTTCCCCCAGCCCCCCGACTCGCCGGGGTCCGCGCGGGGCGTGACCGGAGTTGTGTCTTCTCCAGGCCATGGCGTCAACAGAGGAGAAAGCCTATGAGATCATGAGGGAGCTGGACGTCAGCTACGTGCTGGTCATCTTTGGAGGCCTCACCGGGTACTCATCTGATGGTAAGGTCACACTCTGAGCAGGGTCAAACCCATCCATGGCATGGGCTCCTCCAGAACAGCTCTTGGAGGAGCCAAGTCCCACCTTCAGCTGAGGCTGCGAAGAGGAATTGGCACCAAAATGCTCCTCTCCAGAAGCTGCACGTGGCTTTTTTGCTCTCCAGCAATTCAGCTTCTCGCTCTTGGTCCCTCCACTCAACTCATGGCCACCAAACTCAACTTAACTCTTCACTCTTGGCCTCCAAACTCAACTCCTCACTCTTGATGCCCCAACTCAACCTCTTCCTCTTGAACCCCCCAACTCAACATCTTGCTTTTGTTACCCAACTCAGCTCCTCGCTCTTGGTCTCCAAATTCAGCTCCTCACTCTTGATGCCCCAACGCAACCTCTTGATCTTGGCATCTCAACTCAACCTCTTGCTCTCGATCCCCCAACTCAACATCTTGCTTTTGTTACCCAACTCAGCTCCTCGCTCTTGGTCTCCAAATTCAGCTCCTCACTCTTGATGCCCCAACGCAACCTCTTGATCTTGGCATCTCAACTCAACCTCTTGCTCTCGATCCCCCAACTCAACATCTTGCTTTTGTTACCCAACTCAGCTCCTCGCTCTTGGTCTCCAAATTCAGCTCCTCACTCTTGATGCCCCAACGCAACCTCTTGATCTTGGCATCTCAACTCAACCTCTTGCTCTCGATCCCCCAACTCAACATCTTGCTTTTGTTACCCAACTCAGCTCCTTGCTCTTGGTCTCCAAATTCAGCTCCTCACTCTTGATGCCCCAACTCAACCTCTTGATCTTGGCATCTCAACTCAACCTCTTGCTCTCAATCCCCCAACTCAACATCTTGCTTTTGTTACCCAACTCAGCTCCTCGCTCTTGGTCTCCAAATTCAGCTCCTCACTCTTGCCGTCCCAGCTGAGCTCCTCACTCTTGCCGTCCCAGCTGAGCTCCTCACTCTTGCCGTCCCAGCTGAGCTCCTCACTCTTGCCGTCCCAGCTGAGCTCCTCACTCTTGCCGTCCCAGCTGAGCTCCTCACTCTTGCCGTCCCAGCTGAGCTCCTCACTCTTGCCGTCCCAGCTGAGCTCCTCACTCTTGCCGTCCCAGCTGAGCTCCTCACTCTTGCCGTCCCAGCTGAGCTCCTCACTCTTGCCGTCCCAGCTGAGCTCCTCACTCTTGCCGTCCCAGCTGAGCTCCTCACTCTTGCCGTCCCAGCTGAGCTCCTCACTCTTGCCGTCCCAGCTGAGCTCCTCACTCTTGCCGTCCCAGCTGAGCTCCTCACTCTTGCCGTCCCAGCTGAGCTCCTCACTCTTGCCGTCCCAGCTGAGCTCCTCACTCTTGCCGTCCCAGCTGAGCTCCTCACTCTTGCCGTCCCAGCTGAGCTCCTCACTCTTGCCGTCCCAGCTGAGCTCCTCACTCTTGCTGCCCCAACTCAACCTCTTGCTGTTGCTGTCCCAGCTCAGCTCCTCACTCTTGCTGTCCCAGCTGAGCTCCTCACTCTTGCTGCCCCAACTCAACCTCTCACTCTTGATGCCTCAACTCAACCTCTTGATCTTGGCCTCTCAACTCAACCTCTTGCTTCTTGCTCTTGAATCCCCCAACTCAACATCTTGCTTTTGGTGCCCAACTCAGCTTCTTGCTCTTGGTCTCCAAACTCAACCTCTTGCTGTTGCTGTCCCAACTCAACCTCTCACTCTTGATGCCCCAACTCAACCTCTCACTCTTGATGCCCCAACTCAACCTCTCACTCTTGATGCCCCAGCTCAAACTCTCACTCTTGATGCCCCAACTCAACCTCTTGCTCTTGATGCCCCAACTCAACGCCTTACTTTCTTCTCCCCAACTCCACATTCTCATCCCCTCAACTCGACTCCTTCTTGACTCACCTCCTCGACTCTTCTCTCCCCACCTCTCAGACATCAACAAGTTCCTGTGGATGGTGCGGATCGGCGGCAGCACGGACACGGGGCGCCACATCAAGGAGCACGACTACTACACCCCCACGGGGGAGTTCCGCGTGGACCGCGAGGGCTCCCCGGTGCTCCTCAACTGCCTCATGTACAAGATGTGCTACTACCGCTTCGGCCAGGTCTACACCGAGGCCAGTGAGTCCCCCAAAACCCACCCCCCGAGGTCCAGACCGCGCCGTTTTGGGGCTCCCCGTTGTGTCCTCACCATCTTCTGTCCCTCACCTTCTCCTAGAGCGGCCGCCGGGCTACGACCGGGTGAGGAACGCCGAGATCGGCAACAAGGACTTCGAGCTGGACGTTCTGGAGGAGGCCTACACCACAGAGCATTGGTTGGTCCGAATATACAAGGTAGGATCCCTTCAACAGACCCAAAATTCCACAAATTTAGGGGAAAAAAAACTCCCTTCATCCCTGACCCTGGAGCTTTCCCCCCCCCAGGTGAAGGACC